AAAGTGGAAAAAAGGCCTCAGGCCCCAGGGGGTTAAAGGGGAAACTTACATATTGGGGGTTGATTTCATTTCAACATACATCACAAAATGTTGACACTTCTGATATATGTGACTCATGAGAAGAATCCGGCACTACACTAAGCTTGTAGGAGTTTTGCTTATGCAAAAATGTTCTGAGGGCAGAATGAAAAGTGTTTGGTTCAGAGAGATAACCAGTCAGATTGTAGAGGAGGTACTGTAGGTCCTGCCTCCTCTAGTTGCTTGGACCCACGTCCTGCACAATCTGAGTGACAATGAGCAACAATCGCTGCATAACAAGAAGCATAGAGTTCCATCGTATGTCTTTTGTTAATACAAGGCTGATCCCAATTTTTTCCCTCACAAAAGCAGATGGTTTTGGGCTTCATTTAACCCAGTTCCACAGAGCAGAAGCCATTGCAAAAACAGCCCTTCATAGTGTTTTATATTGTCTTTCAGTTACCTTTTACCATGGTTACTGTTAGATTATATACCTAATTTAATTGAATGGAAGTCCTTAATTTGGATTAATTAGACATGAAAAAAATTAGTGAGATTAATTCAATTATATTCTGTCCTCAGAGCACAAAGTCAATGCACCAACTTAAAAAGAGTGTTTCATTTTCTTTTTGGGTGGAACCACTGTACATGATTCAACTAAACTCATTCAAAGTAACTTTTTCTCAGTGTGGTTGGTTGAAACAAAACCTTGGTCTGGATTTGTACATTCTGGACCTGAACTTCCCACCTCTATCTGTAATGCGTTACTTTTATGTGTACATTCCCCGATACTACGTAGACAGTTAGGCAAATGTGAATTAGCTGGGATTTATTGGCATTGTCTATATGCTGAATTGTAGTAATTAGATGTTGCTTTCACTGTAAGAAACTATTAATGCATCAAAAAAGATTATATAAATTACCATTGAAGGTAACTTATAGAAAAATTCAGTTAAATGACACATAATGAGGATTTTGTTACCAAATAATGGCAGTGGTGGTCTAATGGGTAAGGCTGTGTGTTTGTGATTGGAAGGTTGCTGGTTTCAATCCCCAGCCAGCATGGTACCATTCCCATGCACTGCTGCCTGGGTGCTAAATAATAGTGGCTCACCGCTGTGTTAAATGCTGAGGGCACATTTCATGGATGTGTGCCAACAATGACAATTTTCAACTTCAGTAATATTGTTTGGTGTTTTTCAGTGAAACTGAATAAGATTCGATGTAATTGGATGTAAGTCATGCTGAATTAGCATAACAATGTACCATAATTGTCATGCTAATTAAGCAGAAATACTGTGTTGAATTTAGTGGTTTAAACTGTAATTTTGTACATTGTACATTTTTTACTGTTAAATTTACACATTGTTCCGTAATGATGATTATGTTTTTGCCGTATTTTTTACAGAATTATTCTGGCAACCGTAGTTGCCAGTTTGTTTTTTCCAAAAAAACAAGATTTTTTTACACTGTAATATATATGATATATATAATTTTTATCACTATGTCATGATCAGGGCTGTGCAGTTATCCTAAAGTTAGGAGAGTTTATTTAAGATTTTGGAAGCTTGTGAAAAACACATTTCCTGTCTTAGGTTAGGATAGGAATAATAAGTTAGGAACTGTTCATCTGTAAAGGCTTTTTCCTAAATCAGGTTCTAACCCGAGTTACTATTGCTACCAAACAGTTAAGTGCTGGAGGAGGTGGCCAGGGGCAGAATACTGGCGAAGCTGCTGGCAATTATGGGCAATGCCTCTCACCC